ATGAGACACAGGCAATCCACCCACTTCTTCAGGGAGGTGTGCCCACGCCATTTTTTTCACACTTTGCCTGCTGATAGGCCCTCCACAGTCCCAAATGTACATAATCAAATTATTAAAAACTTGGTTTTGCATAATATGTCCCCTTTAAAAGGTCACAGTCTAAGCTTATATCTGGCAAAACTGACCAGGACCCATAAACTAAGTTTACTACTCTGAGGAGGACAAACTCAGGATGAGGGAGTTAAATACCATTATGTTAAATCTACTATTTAAAAAACAGAGAATATGTGGTGTGGGTTTTTTTTTCGTTAAGTCTCCATGTGTGAATGAACCTGGGTTACCTGGAATATGCTGGCTCCATAGGGAGTCCTCCATGCGTTCAGCAGGTTGTCCTTCCCTGTGCTCACAAACCATTTACCTGCAGACAGAAATCACACATGTAACGTGGCGTCATTTCCTTTAATTAGGAACAGCAGCAGCTCTGACGTTTAATGGGAGCTCCTCTTTGTGATTAATCAGAGCTTGGTAGACTTTTCCATTTTAGCTGATAAGCTCCTTCCACTTCCCACCACACAATGCCCCGAATCACTTTACCCACCAAAAGTGTCATTTCACAAGTAAGTAAGTAAGCAAGTTAGTGTATTTAATATTTAACCTGATAGATATATACGTTTATATTTTTTTCTACTATATACTCATTTATTAGGCTTCCTAAAGCAAAACCTAAGTGCAAATTCCATTCCACAAATGTAAATGTGAGCTTGAATAATTCCTTGAATTATTCAATTTACTTTCAATATAAAGGGAGCTCATAGCCCAATATTTCCCTCTTCATTAGTCTTAAAACCCAGAGATTAGAAGAAGAAATAAACCATCATTTACATACGAGGAGGAGTTCCCATATTTAAACACGTTGTCTCTGGACTAAGCTGACTTGGATCCTTTGGGGTAAACTAGGTGGCATTTAGTGAGAAAGCTTTTTAAAAAGGTTTTTCCGTCAATAATACTTGACTTTTACTCACCGCAGTAGGCGAACTTGAGCGAGAGCACGCAGCTCTCGTGCAGGTGCAGCTGGTATTTGTCGGGTTTGGTGTGGTGCAGCACCTCCACGTTGCTGCTCTCCATGCCCACAGCCAGCCACTCCCCGGTGGGACAGTAGCCCAGAGAGAAGATCTGTGAGGGGGCACAGCAACCACCGGTCAGAGCAGGGATGTCAACGTCAAACACACCGAGGGCCAAAAAAACAAATTTGCTACAAGCCGAGGGCCGGACTGGTTCAATGTTTATTAAAACATATCGAAATGATTGCACATAGCCTATTGAATCAAGACCTAACAGTGCACTTTCAACAGCCAAACAGCAAAAAATTAAATTCTTTTTAAAAACAAAATGTGTTTCTTAATATCAAGATAAATGCATAAATAAAAGTGCATGCATTATAAACTGAAAATGTATTATTGTGCTGCTCTATGATCTACCGATCACTGCTTTCAAATAGTAAAATTAAAAAAATAAATCAAATCAGTTGTATTCTTTCTCATGGCTCTTATCTGCAATTTTCCCTGAGTCCATTCAACTGAAAAATAAATATAAATAAATAAAATACAAAAATGTATGGCTCCCTGAAGCAGCCTCACTGTGTGATTTAGCATATGTGAACATAGCCTGTCTGGACTTAAGTCCTCGTTTTAATTCTTCCACCTTCTGTAGCTTTTGTTCATATTCCATATTCTTGTCTTTGTCTGTGTGTTTCTTAGACGTTTGATAGTGCCTTCTTAAATTAAATTCTTTCATTACAGCCACACTTTCTCCACACAGAAGACACACAGGTTTGCCTTTTACCTCCGTAAACATGTCCTCTGCCTCCTACCTGGCCTGAAACCCGCTGTTCTCAGCGTCCATCTTACGTTTAGTCATTTTCAAAGAAAGGGTATCAAAAAGTTGATCTCTGCTCTAAACGAATGTAGCCGTTTCTGCGCGCTGCAGTGACTTCGCGGGCTACCGTTGCATTGTGGGAAATGTAGTGTTGGTGCGTGCAAAACACCAGCGGGTGGCTGTTGCCTGCGGGCCGGTTATAATAATAATTAAATATCATCCAGCGGGCCATAGATGATCAATTCCGGCCCGCGGGCCTTGACTTATGTGCGTTAGGGGTGGGACGGTTCACAAAATCCACGGTTCGGTTCGCTTAACGGTTTCGTGGTCACGGTTTTCGGTTCGGTTCGGTATATGTTGATTGTTAGGAAAATCTATTATGCCTTATATAGTCGGGTTAAAACTGAAAGAAAAAAGTAGTCTGACATTTGATACATTATTGTGACAGTCTTAGGTTATAAGTAGGTGAGATTCTGGCATTGCAAGAGAGGAAACAGTGCTAATTCCAACATGTGCTTCCCTCTAAATGCAAAGTGGTCCCATACAGCAGACCTATAAACTGCTTTTTTATCGGCTACGCTGCTTCTCTTCTTCTTCTTGTTTCCTACTGGTGGTTGGCTTTGGGCGCAGTAGCGCCCCCTTCTGCTCTGGAGTGTAAACGCTTCCCTCTGAGAAAAAGGAGCAGCATGAACCGAACGCAACACACGCGAATTGAACCGAGACAGTCCAACCGAACGGTTCGGACGGTTTTCAGAAACCGTCCCATCCCTAATGTGCGTCAGAGGGACGGGTCGGGGGGGGTTTGTTTATTCTCCGGGGTCCCTGGGTCTCACCTGAGAGGTGAAGTCGTGCTGCTGCAGCTGGCGGCCCTCCCTCAGGTCCCAGGAGCGCACCGTGTTGTCCAGACCTCCGGTCCACAGCTTCGTCCCGTCGTGGGAGATGTCGATGCAGCTGGCCCCGTCCGTGTGGCCCTGGAACTGCCTGGAACAGGAGAGGGAAGAGGCACCTGGAGTTTAACGGGGGTCCTCTGAGCTGCTCCCTCTGGCTGAGGCCTGCAGGAGCCTCGGATGGATGTCCAACCCCGCCCACATCCAAGTCGGGCATTGTGATTAGGTCATGTGACTAGCAGCTTTCCGAGGTGGAAATGAAATGTAACTGTCTATACGAAATCGGAAGATAAACAATGTCCTGACCCTGACCCTAATCCTAACCCTGACCCTAATCTTAACCCTGACCATAACCCTAACCCTAACCCTGATCCTAACCCTAATCCTGACCCTCCACCTAAACCTGACCGTGACCCTAACCCTAACCCTCCACCCTGTATAATTGTGAGAAATAAATATTTTTGGTTAAACTTGTTTGGACTTATTGTACAAACCTATTTAACATCCACTATTTTAACATCATATTATGTATAGAGTTTAATTCAGTGTTTGCAAGATGAATTTCAATATTTTTAAATTAACGTCTATATTGCCACGAAGCAATTTACGATTTTCTCTCCTGGGATCTTCCTATTGGTGACCTAATCAAAATGTCCGACTTGGAAGTGGGTTGGATCTCCATCCTTGGCTTCCTGCGGCGATATGCGCTTTGCTCCGTTTGCCACCGGCGACTCCCTCTCTCGGGCAGAGCACTGACCTGACCAGGGTCTGGTTGTGCAGGTCCCAGACGGCGATGTTCCCGTCGGAGCAGCAGGAGAAGCAGACCTTGGCGTCGGGGCTGATGGCGAGCGCGTAGCAGGCGGGGGCGGAGGAGGTGAGCTCCGCCTTGATGCGCGGCGTCTGCGAGGCCAGGTCCCAGATGGTCAGCGTGCTGGCCTCGCCGCCCACGATCAGGGTGCGGCCGTCGGGCAGCAGCTTGCAGGAGCGGATGTAATTGTCCCTGTTCTGGAGCAGATAAACAAAAAAACAGAAATTGAATTGAATTGAATATACTTTATTGATCTCCAGGGAGAAATTGACTTCCAGTACAGCCCGTACCAAGATCAAACAAACAAAACACAGAGTAGGGTTGTCACGATACTAAATTTTTTAACTCGATACCGATACTCACGAAAGTACTCGATACCATTTTCAATACCACAAGGATAAAAACAAAGACCCCAAAATTTTACTGAATTGTGTCTTTCATTTCAAACTGACCTGTTACTGATGTTATCGTGACTGGTGGCCCACATTAATGACCCTAAACCTAACCCTCCAGCTTTCATAATTGTGAGAAATAAATATTTTTTGGTTAAAGGTGTTTGGACTCATTGTACACACCTATTTAACATCCACTATTTTAACATAATATTATGTATAGATTTAGATGTATTTAATTAAGTGCTTGCAAGATTAATTTCACTATTTTTAAATTAATGTCTATATTGCCATGAAGCAATTAGGATTTTCTGGCCTGGGATCTTCCTATTGGTGCCGCAGCTAGCAAGGCTAACGTCTTGTTAATGATCATAAACAACGTAAATAAATACATAAATCGATACTTTTGAAAAAGAGTATCGTATCCGGATACAACATTTTAGTATCGATACTTTTGACAACCCTAACACATAGACACACCAGTTCGGGAAGACTGAGGGGCAGCCACACAGGAGGGCGCACCAATTTTTCTTCAGAACAAAAAATATATTGGGAAAGCGGTTGCAGGAAGAGGGGGAAAAAAAGGCCCAGTGCCACGCCCCCTACAGGGGACGTAACAGTGATTTAAAAAACACCTCAGTACACTAAAGCACAGATACAGTCAAATCACAACGTCAGGGACACATAGGGAGGCAGGGATGGGGGGTTGGAAGGAAGGGGAAAGGTAACAGCGAGGCAGTGAGTCCAAGGAATGCATGAATCCGTCACCTCTGATGAATCGGCACTTTTTCCACAGCAAAAAACTGGACGAGATCCGAAATCCGCGATAGCTCACTGCTTTTACTCTCAGAGTGTTTCCTTGACAAGTGAAGATGTGAGTGTCAGCTTTAATAAGCCGGGCTGCAGGCTTCACGGAGCAGGGAGACGGATCCGCAGCCACGGAGATGAAACTGCCCTCTGATAGCTTTATAAAAGCAAACGGCACTCTGGACACACCTTAAGGGTGTAAGAAGGCCGTATGAGCCGAGCGGCGTGAGGCCGCGGAATCAAAATGAGAAACGAGAGGCAGTTTGAAGAAAGTAATGAGCTGGGTAATGGCAGACAGGCTCGGCCAATCAGAACACCATTACTCAGCAGGACTTTTTCCCACCGCGCAGCACCGAGACACTCGCTGAATTATTTACATCTCCGTGTGGCTCCGTGCTGCCGCTACACACAAAACTATTAACGGAGACTTTTCCCGAGACCTCGAAAGTGCTTTTTTTTCTCTTATTTTCAAACATTTCTTTATTAAGGTTTTGTTCTTTTACATAAACACACAACAACCCCAAACCCACGGCACAAACTGAAATAATAAAGAAAGTCTCCCTATGTTCACCTATTTTGGTGCAAAATCCTCTGAATATTAGAAAAATGGTCAGGTTCTCACTGCTTGCTGACCCCAGACTTTGCTTACTCGTAGACCAGTCAGTGGTACCAAGCATATCAAAACATTCACTGTGGTAAAACTCTGCTCTATCACAACGTTAAGAATTATTCTACGTAATTGGAAATGTGTAAAAACTTTGGAATTAAAAGACTGGGTCAATGCTATAATTGAAGCAGCCTCCTATGCGAGTCTGCTGGAAAAGCTGAATGATGAGAAACGAAAGATCTGCGATGATTTCTGGGTCACATGAAAGAGACATAAGGTGTATCTGATGACAGCCGTTTTATTTCTTATTCCGTTTATTATTATTACTGCTATTTTCTGGACCATATTTTCTGTTGGAGATGTCAAGGTGGCGTACAGGGAAACTATGTACAATAGGACAATGTAACATACTATGTGGACCTTTTTTGTGTGTGTTTAAAGTTTGATCAATAAAAAAAGTTGAATTGAAAGTTAAAAAAAAAGAAAAAGAAAAAGAAAGCCTCCCCTAAGGCATGAGCTCCATAATTGTTCACCAAACATAACCGTCTAAAGTCTCATGAAGACAGACAGTCCTCACTGTGTAGTCCAAAACAACCTAAATATGTTCCAAGCTGACTCATATCTCAGTCTCAATGCTACATTCATACACAAAAAGTAATCAGTGAAGTTCTGATGAGGTTGTGGATTCTTGAAGGGGAAAAGGAAAACACACACACACACACACACACACATAAAAGCGAGTGCGTTTAGCCTTTAGCTGCTCACCAGGCAGTCCAGCTGGGACACGGGGCTCTTGCTGCCCGGCTGGCTGATGTCCCAGATCTTGACGCAGCCTTTTCCTCCGGTGTAGACGTGCCGCGTGGGGTTGCTGATGGTGACGGCGCACACCACCTCGCCGTGGCTCAGCGTGTTGATCTGCCGGGCGTGGCGCGGGATGCCCGGGCCGATCAGCGCGTCCGGAGGGAAGGGAACGGGCTGCATCTGCCCGTCAGCGCTCACGTGGAAAGAATAAGCCCTGCGTGGGGAAAAGGAGACACTCAGACAGAGCCAGGGAGCAAAAGGGTCAGCGGAGTCGTAATGAATGGAAATACTTACGGTTTTCCTCCAGAAATGGAAGTGAGGCTCGCCGAGAGGCCTGAAGCTCTCATGTGAGGATGAGGGTCAAATCCCGCCTGTATGGGGAGAAGATGGAAGAGATGGAGCCGTTAGCCTAAGCTAAAATCTGGAACCATTGTAGCCCAGAAAATCCCTGGAAGGTAGGCTTGTCCCGATCCGATATCTGGATCAGATCGGCCACCGTTATTCGCAAAAAAAATGTGCATCAGCAGGCAGGAGAAAATCCTGATCCAGATCCAGTTTTTTTTTTTAAAGTCCCGATCCCACACGAGCATTAGCCTTAGCATTAGCATTTGTAACTCACAGGCCCGTTCAACACAAGTCTGACAACTAAGTAAGTAGATAAATAACTTTAAACTTTTAATATATGCTCTGATAGGCCGGTAGAAAAATAAGCTGGATCGGGACATCCCTACTGGAAGGTAAAGAAACCCTCAACATTTGGCTAAAACTAGATAATCAAAGCCAGAAAGATTTGAAGATACACACACTGGTAAAGACGGTCCCAATGAGTTGCAGACATACTGACTAATTCATCATTCTAGTGTTAGAATAACGCATTTTAAGGGAAAAAAGAGGAGCTGTAAAACCGGGGTCTCTTACGATGGGCGAGCGGCCGTAGGCGGCGGCGGCTGCCGCGCTCATCTGGGGGGAGATGAGGCCCGGGTACACGCCCGGGCTGGTCAGGGACCCGTTCATCTCATGGTGACCCATCATGGCAAAGGGGGTTGCGTAAGAACCGGCGATGGACAGAGGCGTGCGCAGAGCCGGGGCGGCTGGAAAATACAAGGTTTGGTTTAGTTTAACAAACAGATTCCAGCTCCGCACATGGGGAGTTAAACTGTTTCATCAGCAAACATTTGTTTTGTGAGTCTTGTGTTATTCTCCGACTTAAGGTTTGATCGAATAAATTCCAGTGTCTCAAGGTCTTAAAACTAAAGTAGATTTAATTTAAAAAAGGAGCACATTCCCTCAAAAGCCAAACCAGATGATGCTTCTTTGGCTTGAAAGGAGTAACAAAGCCAACAGATGGAGGTTCTGACCTAGCGCCTCCATGCCGGGTGGCTTTCCCATCGTTAGGGGCCGTAGTCCCGGGGTGGTGCTCGTTCCGGGCGTGGGCGCTTCGTTCCTCGGCGTGGGCGTGTTGGACTTGAGGCTCGGCGTGGACGACTTGTCGTTCTGTAACAGAGACACTTTTAAGCTTCAGGGGGTCTGCTATCCTCCCTCTCACACATATACACACCAGTGAAACCACATCCATCCAGAGTTCAAAACCATCTGCGAGTTAAAAATACGCCCAAAAGGCAGGAAATCCTGAGTAAGTGGACGGCTGGAGTTAATCCCATCCAACACAGATGCTTCGTTACAGCCGTCTGTGTCTGTGGGGTGATGAGCATCAGGAAAGGCTCCACAAAAAACGACTCGTTCAGCCTCTCATCTCTCTGATGAAATATTACAATAAAGGACGGCGACAAGCTGGGAAACAAACAGGTGATGTGGATTATACATTTAGAAAGAGTTTAGGGAAAAAAACTGTATAAATGCACAGTTTGTGCAGTTTGAGAAGATGGAAGGGGAGGAGATGAGGCAGAGCAGAAACAGACAGAGACAGCAGTTCCCCCGCTGCCATGTCTCTGGGTTATTTACAGCCTCAGGGCGATGGAGAAATGACCATTTATTGGTTAAGCCATAAAGGAGATTGAGAGGACTGAGCCATAGAGTTTGATTTCCTCAGAGTGCATCCACCCTCTGCCCCCTCGAGCTCCGCGCACCAGCCGACTGCTAAGCCTGCGTATTAGTCCTTCACACAGACGTCCACTTCACTTGACAAATGCCCTTTAGCCTGTCAGTCTCTCCAGCCCCACACTCACGTGGGCGTGGTCCTTCGCCTTGGAGGACGGCGTGCTGCCCGAGGAGGCCACGGAGGCGGGGCTGTTGGGGGCGGCGTCCTTCTTCAGCACTCTCGACTTATCCAGGCCGTTTTCGGGGGGCGAGTGAGCGGGGCTGACTCGAGGCGTGGCCGGATCCTGCCGAGTTAAACGAGACGGACAGAGAGCAAGACTGAGCAAACAGAGCCCAGGAAAGCCAGCGGCGTGTACATGTAGGTCAAACAAGCCGAGGCCTCGTGTGCAAACACAGATAAATACACTCGTGTGTGCTCACACTCTCCCTCACACACACACACACACACACACGCACGCACGTACTTTTCTTTCACCTGTCACACCCTTTTTCTTTTTATCTGACATTCTGCATGAACGGCAAAAGAAACACAGCGAGTAAACGCGCTCAGAGCACACAACCAATATTATGACAGACCTTTCGACAACACAGTGAAAGGTGTCGAGGCTGCTACAGACAAAGAGGGCTGTGTTTGGTTTCTGTGCAGCCGTCCGGCTGAAGAATGCGGCCGGGCGGCTCAAACCCCGTCTTACCTCATTGGAAACATCCACCACCAAGTCGTCACTTTTGTCTCCGTCACTGTCCTGAAATGGGAGAGAATCTGCTTAAACGCCGGGCGTTAACCTCCGAAACGTAACAGAAACCACGTCCGAGTTATGGACTAAAATGAACCCAGACTGCACAGAATTACACAGGACAGCAGCAAAGTTTAATCAGCTGGTAATTCACAGATTGCCATCTGACTCAGAGGTGCAGATAAAGTCGTATAAATGGAAATCGCACAGTGAACGACCAGCTAAGAGTCACAGTCTCCAGAGGGACACTGTGACTCTTTGCTGTGGTTGACTCTACAAACAGCAAAATAATGTGCTGCTACCCTGTTCCTTTGTCTGAACTCCTGCTAAAGGATATCAGCCCTTCCTCTGATCAACGGTGAGCTCATCAGCATTTAAAACTTCCTAAGCTAACTTTTCCTAAATTTTTGGGCCATATTCAGGGATGTTTTAGGGGAATTTTCCTGGTGGTCTGCAAACTGGACATCTGGGGGAGTGAACTCCAAAAACAAAGGAACCAACACTCACATATCTGCTGTCTTTGTCGTCCACCTTGCGTTTCTTGGAGTCGAGGCCGTAGTCTGAGGAGCTGCGGTGCTTCTCGCTGGCCGCCCGCAGGCTGTCCGACGGCGACACCGAGTTATTCTGCCACAGACAACACAGACGCCACATCACACCTGGGGGTCCCATTGAGTGACTCAGCACCCCTAAAGGACTTCATTCTAGTAAATATTTGCAGCTTTGTTTCATTGGAAGTCAGAAAATTAGCTCATCTTTAAGTCAAAATGGTGTACTGTGGCAATATCTGATTATTAGTATGGAGGATGTAACCTTTCCAGACCCATAAGAAAGGTTATTTAAACACTCAAGAGTTCGTAAGAGCAAAATATAAGCAATAACAGTCTAAATAAAATGGCGCCTTTCATCCAGACGTCACTCTTAAGTATTTACTTAGTCAGAGCTGTGATAATATCGACTGTAAAATCAAATGTGCAACACTCCTGGGCTGATTTGGGACACGGTTGGCTCCTTAGACCGTTTAGCCCTGCTGCTGCTGCCAAACCAGCGGAGCAAGGAGGAAACAGATGAGGCCACTAAGCAAAACCACAAACCCACAAAAACACTACAAGACAAAAACACTAACTGGTGAGAGGTGGTTTGTGGAGCAGACCGAGTGAGGATGGAGGGAAAATGTGAACTATAAACACACACACCACACACACACACACTACCTGAGCCAGTCACTGTGTGACTGTGAAAGCATGTTAATAACGGCTACTGTGGGCGGCCTGGGGAGGGAAGACTGACAGCAAAGTTCATGAAAATCACTCAGATTCTAGAAGAGGAAGGAAATAAAGAGGCCATTGAGGTAACCGGGACAAGAGAGCAGTGTGAAGAGGCAAAGCGGGTGTCGCCAGAAGAGAAAGGAACCATGAAAGAAGGAGAGTGAGAAAATTGGGTGGTGAGAAAGAAAGAAGTGCAAAACAGGAAAGAAAGTTGGCAAGCAATGAGAGCCTTTGCAGTGTGGCAGTGAGTTTCCCCCACTAGTGGGCATGCCCAGACAGGCTGGCACTTTCTCAGAAGCTGCAAACAGGGCTTTTGTAGTCTGGTGGCTGGTGGGTAGGCACTGCCAATCAGACCCGAAGGCGAAGAAAGAGATGGGAGGTGGGTGAGAAGGCAAAATAACCCTGAGGCCAGCCCACGTTATCAGGCAGGGAGACCAATCTCTGCCTCTATCGGAACAAGAGAATGGATGATCATGTCTGAGCAAAAAGATGAGCAGCACAGAGACTTTGGCCTAAAAGGATGATAGGATGGCAGAAAAAAAACAACAATCCTGTGAACCCAATCAAACTGTGGTCAGGCAGTCAACGGCCCACTTCCTTTTTAAAGAGCTGCTTCTTAGCCGCCACAGAAAGAGTTAAGACTTTTCTGACTCAGTTCATCCAGCAGCTTTTTCCTCCTCCTCCTCGGGTCAGAGTGTGGAGATTTGTTCGGCTACCATTGCGGAAAAAAGAAAGCCACCGAGAGTTTTAGTCAGGCTTAGCGCAAAGATGCAGTCTGACAGGGAAAGAAATCTCCTCCAGTATGACAGTTTGTGTCTGGGAGGCTTAGAGCAGCTGTCTGGCTGAGTAACCCGGCACTTTCCTCCAGCCCCAGCTATCAGATGACCTGAGACAAGGGGACAGGAAGGCTGAGTGTTCACTAAAAAACAGGGAGAGATCAGGTAAGGTGGCATTGGCAGCCGCTCGTCATCAACTGAGACGGGGGGGTTTGGTTCCCTTCTGACATGAGTGGGTCCATTCAGGATGGTCGGTCAATGGAAACTTAATCTGAGCGAGCAGATCCAGCAGAGCGTTACACTCCGGCTAACTGAGAGCTTAAAGCCAGTCCAATAAACAAGGAAATGTGAGACGGCGGAGAGAGGACGGCGCAAAACAAGAGGAGAGAAAAAGTGATGGGAAAGGGTAAACGGCTGGGATGAGAAGACAGCGGTAAACAAAAGGAACTGACAAAGGAAACGCTGATAAAAGAAGCATGAAAAGGAGTCAGGTGTAGGCCTCGTGGAACGGAGAATCCTCTGAAGTGATTAGGGAAGGAGACTCAAAGTCAGCTTTAATTGTGTTTAAATTAAAGGAGGTAGCAGGCTGCTAATCCTTGTCCAGTGATTGGAGTCATTTTCCACCTGGATTAGATGGCACTGGCTTATTTAGTCATTAGATCTCAGTCAACTTACACCACCCCAAGTACAAAAACCTGTGTGTTCTTACACAGAGAGCATGAATGCATATTAAACAGCTGGCTTCACTCTGTGTAAAGTACCCCCTGATCCCCAAACAGAGAGCCGGAGACGGGCACAGTCAGGAGACAGACAGGAAATGGAGAGCAGGAGAGTCAACGTACCGTGCTGGACTCGCGTTCTTTCAGAGGACCGGCCAGAGGCGAGTGAAAAGATGAGGGGCCAGGAGGGAGGAAAGCAAAACAGAAATTACTTTGGAGGCACCTCATCCAGAGAACACCACTGAATTTACTCCTGATCTGGAAGAAAACTCCTCTCTCTCCAGCTTGGCTTAGAAACAAATTAGATTTGTTAAAACTCGCTAACATGTTATGGCTGATCTGATTATCATGTGTCTAATTCTTCATTGCGTGGAGAAAAGATTATCGGACTTCAAACTGTGTGGCCTTGGTTGAACCACATGCAGTGATGTGTTCAGGGGCCAGATTGACCCTGCTGGGACTACTCTTCCGGTCGGGACGGTTAACTCAAAGACGTCTATAGACGTCAATTCAAATCCAACCGTTCACTGCCAAAGACGTCTATAGACGTCTTTTATGTTTTTCAACGCGAGTGACTTGGGGGACGATCTGCTAAAGCTTGTCCATAAATATCAGGCTTCTAGACAGAGTATGTAGTAACAAATTGACCCTCTAGGTAGCAGTGCCAGTTTTGATCAGAGATGAGCATAGATTGTAGGCAAATAAAAAAAACGCAATGGTTCGCTATGCGAAAAACAACGGTGAGACGAGAGTCGAGGAAGAACGGAATAAGGTAGAAACTATTTTTTTTTCCTGATGAAAGAAGAGAGTCTACTCTTTCTTTTGGTGTGTTCGGTGTTTACATAGTCATAGCACAAACTATTCTGTGGCTCTTGAAAAATCAGTCAAAATGCTCAAAAAACAGTGAGCAACTCTCTGTTCTGAAAATGGCTGGCAGTCAATGAGTTAAAGAGTTGCTCCTCACCTCGGTGCTCCAGGTCGTGGTGGTTCTTCTCATCCTTCACAGGCAGGTGGGCCTGGCTGCCCAGGGCTCCCAGGGCCAGCAGGCCGGAGCCGGCGCCCGTCACGGGGGGGATCCCGGGGGGGGGCAGGCCTGAGGGGTGGGGGGGCAGCTGGACCGGGGGCCCGTGGGCCGCGTGGGAGAGATGCTGGGCCTGAAGCTGCTGCTGCTGCAAACAAACCAGGAGACAGGAGACAGAACAGAAGACAAGTGGGTCGGCTGGGAAAAGACTGCATGAATGAGCACGCTCCGGCTTTGGACCGGTTCTGAATAAAAACAGACAAGTAGCTTCAGTCAATAAAGCTTCAATAACGGCTGCTGGCTGTAAGCTGGAGGAGGCAGTCCACTGTTACCTCTCATACTTATTCAGAGGGTCTGAGCACTCTGCTGTCACATAATAAAATGGGCCATTTTCACAGTTTAAAATATCAACTCATCATGTACAAACCAAGAATAAAACATTACAGGCTGCAAGTTAATTATTTTAATACCATCTGATGGAATCATTTACGCAAAAAGAAAGAAAACAAAATCATGCAGAACTGTGAGTGATACAAACCAATCATTTTAGAGTGTTTTCCATTAAAACAGCAATTAAAATTCAAGCTTTTGTAAAAGTGCTATGAGATGAAAAGAAGCTAATTATCGCATTTAAGAAGCTGAACCTGCTGCTCATTAAATGATTAAAAATGACCAGGTTCAGTCTCAATCTGGGCTTTTTTTCAGCTGTGTTCCATTCAGCAAAAATCAGAACCCAACTCACAACTCTGCTTTTCACATTTAAAGCCCTCAAAGGTCAAACGCCACTATGTCAAACGGAGCTCAGAGTTGGTCACTTTGCTCTCAGACTGCCGGCTTCCCGTCGGTTCACAGAGTTTCTAAAAGCGGAATGGGAGGCAGAGCCCTCGACCATCAGACCCCCCTCCGCGGGTGACCACCTCCCATGATGCACCTCCTTTTTCTCCATGTACACGTGGCATTATTGTTGTTGTTAACTTTAATTTTCCCAGCAGGTATCCCTGAGCTACTATTATCGAGTTCTTTGTCTTTCCTCTCAAACCCCAGCTGGTCCAGGCAGATGGATTCTATGAAATCTTTTGGTTTTCAAGCTTGGAAACTCTTTTAATTGGCTCTTTTCCATTGGACTACTCTGGAACTGGAATTGGTGGAGTTATGACTGTATCACAAATAATGGATTCGTATTGGCTTGAATTGGATTGCATCTTTGAAGTGCTTTGATGCCATGTAAATATAATTGAACAGAACGTCTCTGGCCGTCTGAACTGACACCAGGTGTTGCAGCACAGCTCCAAACTGCTTCAGTCATAACTTGGATAGTGTTAAGAAAAAAAAAAAAGAAAGAAGCTAAACACAATCAATAGGTCTACACTTGAAAACCTCAAAACCTTTCAACACTCTGGGAAACCAAGAAAGCATGCCCTCTTCCAGAAAAACACAGCCGAGCACACACTGGAAAACACACCTCCCCAGAGGCTGTAAATGCCTGAGAGGCAATGAGAGCTGAGAGGAGATAGACAGGAGTTAAATAGCCACTCAGGCAAGAGGGAAGCAAGTGCTTTAAAACAAGGTTAAATAACACTTTGCACATCCATCAACTGCCTCTCCAAAAGAAAAATAACATGATTACTATTCTGCTTGCTAGAAAGAACTTCGATAACCTCATCCATACATTCATTACATAAAAGGGAGAGACTAGACGAGGGTATATCTGGTGGCTAACCGCATTTAAAGGTTTATTTAGCAGATGGCCATTATTCAGTCAGCTCATTATGTCGAGACAGACCTGAAATCGCCCGACGGATATTAGCGACTGAGGGGCTGCATTGTTAATCGATATGGCACCGGCTCGATGAGCAGCCCGCTCGTTGTGAGAGGGGAAAAGTGAGCATAAAAAAATAAAATAAATAAATACGAGGAATGGAAGGAGCAGCCAGAACAAGACGAGGACGGAGAGGCAGAGTCGCAAAAATAACAAGAGAATGAAAGAGAGTGGGCGAGGGATGGAGGCAGGGACATCCCTATTGAGTATGCCTAATGAGGAAAAGCATGCAGGGATCATTATCAAGAAGCCTCATTAGCGAGCTATGGCTGAGGAGAGGAGCGACGAGGGAGGGGGGGCCACGAGGGGTGGAGAGACGGAGGGGGAAAAAAAGGGGAGGGGGGGAGAATTGAGAAAATAAATTGCTTTCAATTCAATATTCATGGATAAAGAGCGAGCTTTCTTTCGCACTTATCTTTTTTCATTATGCGTAAATGCCGCCGCAGCTCAGGCGACTTCCACAGGAAACAGGCAATTAAAGCTAACTGGGCGAAGCCGGCTCCCCGCAGAACGGGACTGTCAGGTGGAACAAGCGTCAGCGGCACCGGCACGAAGCAGCTGGCAGACGGGCTTAATGCGTCTGCCAACGATCGCCACATTACCCACTGAGCCTCGCTACAGCTCTGCAGCTCATCACGCCGAATTTCCCTCAGACGCCCAGACAAAGATTAGACCACAACAACAACAACCCGCTTCAGAAACACAACCAATCTGATGGAGACAACGGGGGGACGTTTCTCGGGTTAGTATCCGGGCGGACGAGGCCTGGACGGGGAGCCGGGAGCTTTGTTTTCGGGATTAGCATCATCTCCCTCCACAAAAACAGATGTTAGAACAGCAAACCAGGCAATGACAAGACACATTCACTAGGGGCACTGACCATGAAGGCTGGATAGACGACATGAGGCGGCGGCTGCTGCTGCTGGGTCAGAGGAGAAGACACATTCAGCCAGTGAGGGCACACAAAACCACCACAACAGACCCACAACAGACCCACAACAGACCCACAACAGACCCACAACAGACCCAAACAGACCCAAACAGACACACCCGTTTGGTCTATTTCACTGTTCATTCACAGAAAAGCTCTCGGCTCATCTTTTGGGTCTGTGACCAGGCTCACGGTGAACCATCTGAGATGTTAGAGAATGTTACAAATCCATCAATCGTCCTGAAACTGTGACAAAAACAAAGGTATCCCGGTGAGCGACAGAGGCAGAGTGTAGAAGTCGGCGCCGTGTTCCACGGATTAGCATTAACACGATAAGCAGCCGACCCGGGGACCATTATCCAGCCCCAATCTGACTGTGTCGAAATCATGGAAATGAAGGTGGAGGCATGGAAATGAGGCAGCACCTCTGACACTTGTCAAATCACACTCGATCGGACGTCTCCTCGGGGCCAAATAGAAATTATGCAAAACAGTACAGAACAGTTTGTCTTTGTCTCTGCTTTTTTTTTTTCGATCCTTTTCCCGGTTCGGGGTCCAAAGTCTCAGAAGTGCTGACCACAGGGTCTGTCCACACAGATGTGCCAACAGATGTTTTCAGATTAGGCGAGCCAAACTGGTAACGGCGTTCACGTTGAAATAAATACGGCGCGATCCAGGTAAGAGACCGTGAAAACTACAGACAGTTTTGAGTCCGAACTCTGATCTAGTTCCCCATCTGGGCCCTGGAAGGCTCTAATAAGACTAATGAGACTGATCACCGGCCTCTTCTCCACACAAACAGCTACGGTCCGTGCTCGGTCTGGCCATTCTGGCTCTAATAAAGGTGGGTCACTGTAGACAGTCTCAGTTGGTTTTAGAAAAAAATAGAAAATAAAAAAAAGTAATTACTTTCAAATCCTGAGGTCGTACTCCCGCCTCATTTCCCTTAATCGAATTTCTATACGAGCTCCTCTTTGGACGTGACCCCCCCCGCCACCGGGGCGAGCAAACCACTGACGGGCCTCAGCTTAATACAGCCAATCAGAAGGTCAGGTTTAACTCGCTGATTATTAAAAAGTAGCCAGGCCTAAAGTTAAGTTTTTTTGTTTTTTAAAGGCAGAAAATAAAGCAAATCACTACAAAGTCCATTTGTTCAGAACGGACTTTCAGAGTTGTGGAAACAGAAAGTCGATTCCTAATTTTTTAGGGAAACTTCTATCCCTCCATTCAACTCTGGGTGGTTACAAATGACTCAATCCGATGAGAAGTTATACTGGAAAGGAGCGCATGAATCATGGCTCTCTGCTGGTTGTTAAATCCAAAAGTAAAACTAAAAAGGTCAAACCGGGATGCTTTTAAAGCCATCGTACTTATTGTTTGACTGGTTTGGCTTGTTGAAAAGGTATGATGGATCTTAAAATGCAGCTGTTTCACCATAAACAAAGCAAACAGGAACACCGGCTTCCTAATCCCCCCCCCTCTTACGTCTTTAGCCTTCTACACAGTAACTATACAGCTCCTACTCAGGTCATCTCTGCTCCAATCCCAACTCTTGTCCTGACCCCACCAGTTATTCCTCCTGCTGCCTGGAACTTTTTAAGTAATCAAAGTGCAGCTAGAGGGAAATCTGAAATCTGAGACAGATTTCAGTCTGGACTGTTTCCCTTTGAATCGGATGCTGTCGGAAAAAAGGTCAGAGCAGATGGGAGCTGCTCCCTGTTTGGTCACAGTTAAAAACCGATCGGAGGATTTACACCTGTGAGCGTAAAACAAGAGCATTGTAAACATCGTGAGCTCAAACACTTAAACCACTGGAGACGGGGACAAGTCTGCACAGGCGAGGAGGACGTGGCGTCACCGGTTTTGTTCTCAGTCTGAACTCTCGAATACCTCCGACTAAAGGAGGAGGAAATGGAAGCAGATTAATGCACTTTAGCTGCTTCTGACTCGTTTTCACCCCCTATTTCCCGGGTAATCCTTAAAGCGCTCCGTCTCAGAGCCGGTCCTCCTCGGGGCGTGCAGTTTTGTCCCTCGTCTCGGGTCGAATGAATAAATAAAAAGGGGGTATACACACAGTCAGAGGCAGATTGGGAAGTCCACGTACCCCGATGATAGCATTTAGCTCGGTCATGGTCACCTGTTTGGCCCGTTCGACGGCCTGAGCCACCTGCTGTTGGTGCTGAGGGACACAGACACATTCTCAGTTTAGGTGTCACATTCACTTCAGGGTAAACCAATAAAACAGCCCGATAAACACACTTTGTATCTGTACACAGGTTCAGAGGGCCTGGACAAATATTTATAGTTTCGGGTTCGACAAAGACAACCGAACCCTTCTTTAAACCCGTTAACGGTATTCGCTTTACAGCTTCTGTGGAATTCTCCTGCATTTTAATCAAGCAATTTTCTTATTATTGCTGGAGTAATTATAGAAATAATGAGTGACTAAAAAAAACTAGGATTTTTTTTTAATCACTGTCAGTCACTTCATAATTAAAGCAATAAGATCTGTATTCTTATTTTAAATTAATTCACAAGTTCATGTCATTCTACTTAGCTCTGGAAAAACAGCTAAAGTCAACATTTAATCTGCTCTTAATGTGTGAAAAATGACAGATATTCATCCATGCAGCTGGTGGAGACGACACTCACCTCTTGTGACAAGAATGGCATGATCTGAGCCAGAATAGCGTTGAGGCGTTTGGCGATCTCAGTCTGTAGAGGAGGAGAAAGAGAATATCAGAGGAGCAGCACACCGCTAGTTTCATTAGCCATAAAATAATCCACGACGTACACTGTGTATTTCTAACCAAACAAGGACCGCCTTGGAGCAAATTCACTTCCCCTCCTCTGCTGCTTCCATTAGGCTCGGGGCTTATTTTATTAGGAGGCTGAAATATGCTAATGCCATCTGGACGGAGAGGGCCCTAATGAGGTCCATGCTTCATAATTACGGCCCGTAAAGAGGGGGGCAGCAGACAGGTTAACTCTGGCCGTATCTATCAGAGGCATCTCTGCCATCGACCACATCGCTTTAGCGGGCGGGGTAAGACGATCCGGCGGGGCTGGAGCACTTTGCTCTGCAGCGTTTGGATAAATGGATCCGGGGGTCCCAGGACATTTTTGCCCGAGCCCATTTCCTTTTTCTAAACTCTGCTGAGAGCCGAGGAAGACGTGGAGACGAAGAGGAGCACAAAAGTGTAACAGCAGAATAAAAGAGGAGTTGAAGAGTTGAGGAGGAGGGAGGAAGGGGGGAGAGAGGGGGGGATGCTGAAGTGAGAGCCCCTGATTGGACACTAAGGTAATGCGCTCTGACTGACCCGGGGGAGGTGAACTAATCGATTCGGGGAGATCGGGGTGGAGCCCCGGCAGGTGTGTGTGGGGGGCTGAGGGGGTCCTTCCCGCCATTTTACACACTCAGTTTGCACCGTGAAAAGAAGGAGGAGGAGGAGGAGAGACGGAGGTTTCTCCACAACCTCTGTCTCTCCTCATTTGGGGGGGGGGGGGGGGGGCAGACCTCTGCCGGCCTGTCAGGAATTATCTCACAACCCCCGTGTGACCTCAGACGCTCTGCGCTTTCTCCTCTTCCTCGTCCTCCAAAAGCTTCTTCACACCCCTCCGTGCTAATCTCAGCAACTCTCCTTTCTGCCTGCTGCCCCCCCCACTCCCCTCCCCACCCCTCCCCCCTCCTTTGTTGCTGGGGCAACGCTATCTGGCACGGCTTATCGTTATGTAAATTGGGCCGGGGCTCTGACCAGAACAGCCTGTAAAATCATATTAGGCTCCGCACAGAGGCAGGTCATTAAATTGAATTTTCGGCCTGTCGATCTGATCGGCACGGGAAACTAATGAGGGATAACTGGGAGCGGGGGGGGGGGGGGGGGGGGGGGGGGGGCACTTGGGCTGACACAGAGAAGGGGGTGGGGGACTCTTTGGGGACTCATAAAGCCTCATCATTACAGGGGCTGTAAACAATGACATCAGTGGGGGTAAGAGTGGTTCAGTGTCACAGCACATCCCTGGAAAAGGGAGGGGGGGGGGGGCTCCACTCTGCCACCATTACAGCGAATACATTATAGACCTTCAGTCTCTGAGAGTCTGCCGTTTGTTCACCGCTTTAGAGCTGCCATCTGAGGCCAGAAACATTCAGAAAATCTCTGTCCTCACTCCATTTTTCCAGCTCAGTTTGCTAAAAACCAAACGAACAAAAAAGAAAAAAAACCAGGCCAGAGCTCCAAGAGGTGATAAGAGGGTTGTTTTGGGTTTTTTTTTCTGAACGTCAAATCTTCCTGAGTCCTTCACTTCATGCGAGTTTAACACCCAAGCTAAAGTAGTACTTGGGAGACAGGAAATAAAACAATAGAAGGGGCTTCCTTTGCATCCACTTCTGTTTGGCTCCGACGGCCCATTTGCTGTAATGTCGAGTCTCGGCTACGTTTGGAGGGAATGTGAGTCACGCCGGCCCGCGAAGAGCCCCGTAAACACCTCACACACACGTCTCGTCCTTCCTTTTCAAATTTAGCCACTTTGTCCAGACTGAGTTCGCACGCCTTTTAACTCATTGGCTGCCAAAGACGTCTATAGACGTC